AGGCCAGAGGATCCCCTTCACCTGGCTGACGAGTCAGAACAGGTGCAAGGCTCAGACAGGAGATGGAGGAGGAGGGTGAGTGATAAGGGAGGGCAGGTGAGGCCTCAGACTACAGGGTGTACACCTCCTGTATTAGAGAGAGACGAGCCAGCTCCTTTTCGTTTGCAGCTCCCGTTGAATTCCTCGTCGGAGAGCGTTCGCCCTGCAGACTCACCAATGAGCAGAACAGCAGGAGAGAGGAGTGACTCCCCTGGACACAGAATTCCACAAAAGGAGGAGGGGAGAGGGGCTGAAGGGGCTGAAACAATTTTCCTGTCTTGTGTGTGTGTGTGTGTGCACGTGTGTGCGTGTGTGCATGTGTGCGTATGTGTGTGTGTATGTGTGCGTGTTAACAAAACCAAATGCCACTAATCATCAGAGAGACATATTCAAAGAAAATGAAAACAAGCAGGAGTGGAGCATGCATTCCATTTTCAGTCCAGCGCTTGTTTCAGTTGGGAATGAATCTTTGGTTTCTGTCTCATCTCTGTGCAGCTTTGTTCTACTTTCTTTAGAAAAAGCTTTGGCAGGCAAGGGGGCCATGGAGGAACACACACACACACACACACACACACACACAGACACACAGCAGGAAAATTGTTTGAGCAGATGACAGAATTATAATCTTTTAAGATATGGTGTTTTTTTTTGCCACCCCCCATCCTCCTCTTTTAAGAGGAGTGCCTGTCATCAGTTTATTTATGGCAAAAGTCTAGCTCTCCCTCGTAATCTAGAGCAGTTTATTCTCAGGGAGAAATATTATCATGTAAATCCAGGTGAAGATATATGACAGAAATTACAACGTTTTAAGTGAAATATGAAAATCCAGAAAATCAATTTCAATTCTAAAAAGTAAGGAAGGAGAAAATGTACCTGGGCCACAGAAAGAGAATAAAATGGCCAATTATGCAAGCACCATTTTTCTAAAAACCTTATTGTCATCCTCATTTCATGGAAGAATGTTTATTATCCAGAGAGGCCTGATGAATGAAGCATTGTACTGAAGCCTGACGAACTCTGCTTAGTAAAATCAAGAGTGATTTCCTCTGAATGGGTTTTAGAGACACACACATGCACAGTGGCAAGAACACCCAAGTGTATGTTTAAAAAAAATAAAAAAAACACCTGGTAAAAAGATTCAGTTCACACACTCAGACTGTGAGGACAGTAAAACCGAATTCCAGTAGACGGAAAACAGACTGCGGAGGATTTGATTAGAGGAAAAGTGTATTGCAGCGTGCAGTTATATCTGTGAGGGATGTGACCACGGCGGTGAAGAATGCAGCAGATAAGTCAGACTACAGTAAGGTCAAGCAGAGGCCTATTTCGGCAGCGGACACATGCAGGGGAACGAGATCTGAGACAGGTTTTCTTTTTTCATCCAAACTATTTCACAACACAGAGAGTTTGTACAGGCAGTACTCTCTCTCCCACTGGACAGCAACAAAATGATAACAAACATTTCCTTTCTAGTGATGGAAGAAATAATGATTCAAAGCTGTTATATGCACAGTACTTCTACTTTACTTGAGTACTTCCACTTTGTGATATTTATACATCTCCATATAAGCAGATGTACTTGGACCACACTACTTTTATTTTACAGATACAGTTACTTTAGAGAACAAATAAGAGTCTTTAAGTTAGAGACCTGAGTCTGTTACATGGCAGTAGTCAACATTTTCTAAGATTAGCCACAATAACTAGTGGTCTGATGGTGCTGAGCTGAGAAACTGTGTGTTTAATGACTTTATATAAAGATGGACGACATGATTGTTCCTCAAAAGTGAAGCCACCCGATCATCCCCTAGTGGCTGACTGCAGTATAGGTCATAAACCCTGCCTGTTAGAATTAAACAGAATTAAAATGTCCTAGTACAAGTGAAATGCATATTTCTGGTTTGTGCCATTTATAGAACTTATCACACTAATGTATGTTCAAGTGCTTGTTTTTGGTAAGTTTGGTTAAAATTGTTGGATGTTATAAAAATGGGGTCATGATTGACAGCTGACACTGACTCACTCATTGGTTGAGCGCGTGCATTGGCAGGATCTCGATACTGCAGCCCCATCCCCAGTTTGCCTGTGCAAACTGTCAAGATGGCGTTATATGTATCTGAGATATTTTGCCTTCCTTTCTGGATAGTGGGAAGAAATGGAGATGTGCTGTCCATCTGACTTTATAGACGGATTTATAAGCAAAACTATTAATCTCATGAAGAAAGGTTCAGTACCACACTCTAAAGAGCCAAGTCTTACATTGAAAAGTAAGAGTATGTGATAATTGTGCCCCCTGTAAGCCACATTATTAAATCATATTACTTGATTAATGACGCATCAAGGTGTGAATTGTTTTTCACAGTTGCAGTCAATCTTATTTTACATATGTATATTATATAGTGATAATCCATCATCATGCATCATATTTTATAAACTCATTGCCGCCTTAATTACGTAAAGTCATAAAGTGTAAAGTAAACTTTGTTTATCATTATTTATCATTATGACGCTGACAGTGGCCTTTCTGTTGTACTTTGACTTCTAATACATTTTTGCTAATAATATCTTCATAAGTAGATAAATGCTTCCATAAGGACACATGGATAAAACGCCAGTCCTATCATGTCACTCACATAATTAGTGTTCAGACAGTGAATCACTTCAGAGCGAGCACTGACCTTTTCTTCCAAGATTCTGCATATTTTGGCCGTCAGCAAATCCAGAAGACAGACACCACGGATGATGAATGGCAGAGAGAAGAGGGTCAGTGACCCTGAGTACAACAGGTCTCAACACACACACGCATGCACACACAGTTTAACAGCAATACAGACAAACACAGATGCAGTTTAAGATTTACAGACGTGGGTTTTTAATGAACCTGACATCACTTTTATTTCTATCTGCAGATTCCTATAGGTCAGCAGAAGCAGCATGCATTATTAAGTTGAGTCTGAGAGCGCAGGCTTGAGCTGAGCGTCAGCATCTACTGAGCAGGCAACAATGACATCAGAGAGAGAGAGAGAGAGAGAGAGAGAGAGAGGGGAAGAGAGTTGGGGGAGGGAAGGCGAGAGTAAGAGGGAGAGAAAAATTCTGTAATCCAGCAGGCTCACTAGGTACAAATGGAGAAAGATCTATAAAAGCTCCATGTTGCTCGTTTCTCTTCATTCTCTCTGAGCACCCAGATGCTATAACAGTCCAGTATGGATATCTGATTCCTGACACACGTCTGAGTTTTACATTAACCCTCAGAAGGGCTCCTGAGTGATCTCTTTGTGCTCTCAGTCTCCACCACACATGCACGATGAAATACCCTGATGCAAGAACAGGCCGTACGAGAGACAATAAGCAGATATGAAAAAAATTGCTTTTGGAACAGTGATTTCAACTCAGATCGGTGATAAAAAAGTGAGCTGAAATATTTTTTCCATCCTGTTTGTGCAGTGATTCAGCAGGTCCACCACAGCCCAGTCATCTGGCTCTGTGGGACTGGAGCCACAAGTCTGATTAATCGCAGATGTAGAAACATGCAGCATCAAGATTCCTTTGGAGGCATCCCAAGGTTATTTGACCCACGACCAAAAATCCCCCTCGTCAGATCAAATACCTCTACTTTGTACTGGGAAGGTTTTGTACAATAACTGTTTCTGTGACATTTAAGTGATTTGTTTTCCTGATGAAAGATGAAGCACAGACTGAGAACTGTTTAAACAGTGTGTGCACAGCATGCCAGTATTTTTGCTACATCCTGGCGAGTGGCGTTGTTGCACGACAGGATCTTGTGAGGTTCACTTCAAGCTAAACAACCAAAGCTAGATTGAATAAGGATTAGGTTTAAATTTCATGGGAGTTAGCTGACGCTGCACAGAGAGCAGGGGTAAAGAGTTGGGAAGAGTGCTGTGATATGTAAATCAAACTTTAGCTTTTGCTGAATAGACAAGAGCTTATTTGTTTATGTGATGGTATTTTGCATTAGAACAATACATCAACTCTGTGTGAATTAGGCAGCACCTATAGAATATGTTTGCTCTCAGCCCTGATCGTTTGAGTTGTACTCTATGTGTGCACAAAGTGTGCACTCTAGTGGCTAAAGTAGAGAGAAACTGATTCTCACTGTAAACAATCCAGATGAAAATCATCAGCGGGGCAATGCATATATCCTGTGTGCACTTTAAGGACCCCAATCAAACCAGTCATTAATTCCTTTTGTAATAATGCCGTGTCATAATCCATATAATATCATGATTAATTGATCTAAATAAGATGTAGATTGTGTCTCTTCTTAGTTGCAATATTTCTGGCTACAGTGATGTCGAGATTTCCCTCATAGTATATGACAATAAAATATTTTTCAGTCTATATAAGCTTAAGGTCATGTCTATATTCCTATAGGATGTGATACTCCATTCAACTTCATTGCAGCTTCTTTACAAAGTCACTTGTATCATATGATGGTGAATCATTTTGTAATCAATATAAGCTTCAGATTTTGTCTTCACCACTGTCATTTTTATTGACTTTGACCTTAACCTTTCACTGATGATTTCCAAAAGTTAATCATCTGGTGATACACTCCCAAGTAGTAATACGACCATGTGTTATCCAGTTGTTTTGTACACAAACGCACACACACATAGTAATTCTGACATTTTGAGTGCTGGAAAATGTCAACACAGATAAATCCTGATGTGTGAAGGCCATCAGAACTGGTAAACAAAAAACAGCTATTAAATATTAAAAAACACAGTTTGCTCTCTTTAATAATTAATTTTTAATTCCCCATCACTGTGTGACTGGTGTCCATTCCCTGATATCACTTTTGTTTGTAAAAAGTACATAGATTTGTTGTATATATTGGGAAAAGACTATCAAATGAAAATGCGTATATGTATACAATTACAATGTATATGCATGAAAATCAAGGAGGATTCAGTGATTTCACAGGGAACTATATAGTTTTTTAACAGCATTTATTTAGCTTTCTCCATACAATACATTTAATGTACAACAGCACATACTGTATTCTGAAATAACTCTCAGTATAAAATAGGGCTTCTACAATCGAGGTACAGTCATAAAATGCTCTGAGGGACATGACGACAACGGCAACAGTAAAACACCTTCATATAAAGCACAGGATATTGAGATAAGTGATTGTATTTGCCGAGTTGCTGCTGTAGGAAGCAGAACTTCAGACCACACCTCTCAGAGCATCCGACATCCTGCAAGAACCCGTTTATATATATATTTTTTTGTTTGATTTTTTTCTTTCTCTTGGTTCTGGTTTCACAACTGAGGAGATTCCAAATGATGATCAATGCATAATAATATGAGTAATTCCGACTGCTGAAAATATAATTTTTGGTAACATGAGAGGATAAATCAGGCCTTGTTTTGGATACTGAATATATACCAAGGTCGAAGCATACACAGTATTATGACTGCTAATCAAGCCTATTTATATATTGAAGTATGTTTGTGACTGTAGCTGTAAAGACAAATTGCTCATCAGTGTTTTCCTCACACCCAACACTTAAAAACAGCAAAAGTATACTTTACTATCACTGAAGCCACAAGAGAACTCCGCTTATTTCAACATGGTAAACATCAGCCAATTATAGGTCATTTTTAAAAAGGATTTCATATCTGCAGGTGTGCATTAGAGCATGTGTGGGCCTATATAGTGTCTATAAATGTGTCTTTAAATAGAATACATGTAACATTGACCAGCTTTTGTGTTAGTTTGTTATCATGTAGTGTTTCAGGTGCTGAATGTACATTATATAAAATATCCAATTGGTATGAGAGAAGGCCTGCGTAGGAGGGAACGTAAAAAGAGAAGTGTCGGACTGGGAGGCCAAACAAACGTCAGGAGAGAGAAAGGAGAGATTTGTCTCAAGTCTTGAGGTAAGCAATGTGTTTTAGTATAATGCCCTACAGACAATCATACAGTTACAATCATTAATTCTCTATATACAAACTTCCTGATTTACATACACTGTACTGCTCCTCAGTTTAAAATTTAATAAAACTAAACGCAAGATCATATCCGTGGTGCAACTTTTTAGAGCAAGGAGGGAAATTCGTTCCATGAGGCGGGTGACGATAACAAACATTATGGCTATTGATGATGGCCCATTTTCTCTTGCACACGTCACACATACTATCAAAGATCTACAACAGTGCAAATTTTCCTGATCAATCAAAACACTTGCAAACAATTGGCAAAAGTACATCAGCTCGTTTTCGAAGTTAAATGTCGGAGATGGCAAAGAACGATTATCGGAGTAGATGTTGACATTGAAAATTTACATGCCTGTGTTTTTTATGTATATATCCATTAGGCCTGCATGTTTTAAGGGGTCACAACAACTCTGTTAACTGCATTACATGAATGGAGGAAGTCTACTGTGGCACGATGGCTCAAATAGAAAAAAAAAAAGAACACAAAAGGACAGACGAACATTCTACCCCGCATGCCTCCCCTGGATGTAGGCACCGTTTTTTACCGTCACCTTCTTAGAAGACAAGGTCAGGCCTATCCCACATCTCTGCAGAACATACACTGTGCCCCCTAAACAAGTGTCTACTGGAGGAGGCTTGATGAAAATATGAAATGAATGTGCTATAGTAGTAACAGTTTGCGCACTCACTGACACTACAGACTGTAACTGAGACATGACATCAACAAGCTTTTTACGAAGAGGAGGAGGCTATAGTATGCTACAGTACTAGTGCTACCTGAACATGCTACAGATTGAGACTACGATGATGGGAGGAGATTTCACGTCAGCACACAGCAGTGACCAGCTTTGCAGAGGAGCTCGACCCATTCTAGGCCACAGAGCCACTGACACCATCTGTGTCCAGAGAAACACTTTTTTTTTTTTTAAAGCAAACCAGTGAGTGTGTTAACAATTTTTCTTCAGCAATGCTATGTACCATTTTCAAAAATGAAAAAAGTACCGTCTTTGCAGCTTGATGGATCAAGTACTTAGTAAAGCTGGCTTATTGTGTGCAGCGGAAAGCACCCCATTTGTAGTCAGTTCCTGTCATACAACACACACACACACACATCGTACACACACACTTGCACACAAACCCTGAATTTAGGAACGATTCTTATCGTCACACAGCACTATCGTTTTGATTATCATTGAGTAAGAGCTGGGATTGCATACTGTACCATACATCTCCTGGGAGAGGCACCCTTCATCAATATCAGCTCATCCATCTGACACCACACACACACACACACTCATACGCACAAATAAACTCTTTTTAAACTGGTCAAAAAAATTACAATCACATGCTTTGTAACGGAATGTAGAGAAAGCTCATACCAGACCTTTGACTTCAGCTGGGACCAAGCCAAGCACACTGACTGTCATGAAGCGTCTTCTTGGCTTTAACCAAGATTTTAGTCAGAAGACTTTCAGATGTCCTGGCGGAATTTGTGTTAAAAATCCTTCACACGGACACTCAGCCATCAGTTTCATAACAAAGAATCTGAAGTAGAGCTGTATAATGGTGACATTACGACAGCCGTCCCTTCAGAAAGGACAAGAATAGTTATTTTTCTTAAATTATTTAAAATATATTCCCCCATATTAAGTGGGAGCTCTGGACCTAGTCTATCATGCCCCTAGCAACAGACAAGGAGTACACCAACAACGGGCTATACCACCACACATCTGGACTGAGCATCCTTTCTTGTACATCTTTCATATAATGTATGTCTCATTCACACTGGTAGAGAATGTAAAGTGATTAGACCGTCAAAGCAAGCTGCATTCAACGCCTACTGTGTAAGATTTTTGAGAACAGCGTAAACCTGCAGTTTCTGTTACCTGCACAAAAGCTTCTGCAACCTCTCTGGGTTAGCTACCTGCTGCTCCCCGACTCATGCTGAGAAAACTTGCTTTTGTTTACTCTATCGAAGGGCTTGAACCTGATATATATTTTTTATCTTAGTTTAGTTAACAGATCACGCAACAATACGGCAAACAACACGGCTCTCTGTTGGATTATGGGCAGTTAGCATGCTCATGTGATGGAGCGGTATCTTGGAGTAAGACAGACAGCCACGACTTTCACAAAGGTCGCTTGTTGCCTTGTCCCAGCCTCTTTACTGCTAACATAACCTGACTGAGAGATCCTTGTTTGGGAATTCTAGACAGGTTGAGTTTCACCACAAGAATTTGGCTAAAATCCACAGAAAAGTGCAAACTATCATTTTCTTGTTGATTTCTTTGTGACACATTGTGTTTCTGACCATTTTAAGCTCTTTATATTCAACTGTTCTCTGTTTAAAAAAAATAAATTATAAAAAAACAAATATAACTCAGAAAGACCCCCCCCCCCCCAAAAGCATAATCTGATCAAAGTGCAACACCCCAGCAGCAAGGGAAAGAGTGGAAGTGTTTGAAAAGGGTTCAGATAGCAGGGCCTAGATCAGGGTCTGGTGGGGTTCTCTTAGCTCTCTGAGTAAGCCACTCACAATTACACTAATAGATATACCCACACGAAGGATTGCTCACACACACGCACACTCACACAGTCAAGCTTAGATGAGTCTGGCCTCTCCCTCCATGTCTGGTGGTAGATCACACACTCCTGTGAAGTGCATCTCCTTTCCCTTGCTTCCCTGTCCCGCCGTGGCTCTGGCCCCTCGTTCCCCCAGGCTGGGAGAAGGCTGTTGAGCCTGAGGGTCTGACGATGTCCCGCGGGGGATTCCAACTGCCTGCCTCTCTTTCAGGAAGACCTCTAGTCGGCGTAGCATCTGCTTGGGGTTCTTTTTGGCAAACAGCTCCACTTCTAAAGGGTTAGAAAACACAGAAACTGTGGGACTCATGCCAGGATGACAATCTGTGTTTAGCTGTGTTTCTGAGTTCAATGCATATCAATGTGACTCATGTTTGAAAAAATGGATTGGAAATAGAAAGATGCATTCACTTTCTTGAGTTAGAAGATTGCTACTGGGCCAGGCTAGCAGTTTTACAGTGTTCACTCTTTGTGGCAAGCCAACCTGATGCTGTCTGTAATTTCATTTTTAATAGAAATGAGAGTGACATCTATCTTCTCTATCAGCCTGATTACACAGTTGGTAAAGAGAAGGACCCCTTTAACATTGTGTGAGTCACAATATAATCCCCAACAGTTTGGTTAGACATGTATTTGTGCTTACTCATAGTTGAAACAATCTGCCATTCTCTTTACCTTTTAGTACAAAGCCAGAGTCAGCAATGGTCTTCTGTTGGGTCTTCCACAGTTGGTACAGGTGCAGATACGTGGCAACGTAGAACTCATTCAGTACACCAACCACCTGCTGACGTCGATTGCACTCCCTGTTTTAAACCAAACACAGAGCAGAGCATTGGCTTGAAGAGATTGAAACTACACGGTAAACCAGACACACACTCCAGAAGATGTGCTAAAACAAAAGCTGGGGAGCGGTGACTCACTTGGACAAGGCCTCCTCTCTGAGCACTTGTAGAGCAATGCGGGTCATGTTGATTGACATCACACTAAATGGAAAGTTCTGAAGAAGAGGAAATACACAAGGGAACTTGGGTCCACAGAGTCTACTTTCAACGGTCACTCAGAGAAAGTCATTTGTTTTCACTCTAGTTCCCTCTGCAGGGAGAACAAAGGTCAGGGTCAGCAACAAAGCAGCTTGCCTCATGAGTGAGAGGACTTTATTAGTGAAATCTTATACCCGAATCAGATGTCCAAAGTTAAACTTATCTTCATCTAACTCAACACATTCAAGCATGCACACAATGGCAGACTCTGGCATGAATGAACTGCCTTTCAGGAGTATCTTTTGTGATCTTGTGATACCTGTGTAGGGTGCTGTGATAACTTGTAGATGTCTCGAGCGAGAGGCAGAGTCTCTGGGTCCATCACAAAGTACAAAGTGTGCATCAGTCCCAGGAAACCGGTGCCACGTAGGTCAGTGGCCGGGTCTACACCTGCAAATACAGAAAACAAACCAACACAGATGATACAACAACAATTTGTTCTAATCTTTCCTTGTTCTGTGTTGTGAACTGTCAATAATTCTGCATACACATCCTTTGCTTAATTAGAATAATAAAGACAAGTAGTTCAATAACTAGATTAATTTTACATGAGCATTCACAGACCTAATGTGCTGTATTTATAGTGAAGGAGGGTACAGTCTCACCCTGAAAGCCAATGTTTTCCCAGTGTGCCCCATAGCGAGGGCAGTCCAGCCTGCTGCCAATCAGTCTCTTATAAATGGTCTGCAGGACACGCATATGGACTGTTTGGCTGTTGTCCACATGGCCTATAGAAACACACACATAAATATGCAAAAGCAAAATCAGTGGTTTGGTAAAGAAACTTGTGAGTTTGACATTAGGCAGGACTATTACAGACCCTGCAAACACACACTCACATTGTGCGATGGCAAAAACCAGATCTCTCTCCTCCAGGAGTTCCCGGTGCAGTCGTGGAGGTCCAAAGAGGAAGTGAGTGATAGCGGCCAGACCTGTCCTGCGAATGGTTGGCTGGATGTTCTTCTACAGATGGAGGAGACAGCAAAAATACAGGATCGTTTAAAATTACAGTTCACTAGTTAGCTATCAGTACAATTATTAAGCAAATCCAAAATGTATTCAATAGATGAAGGACATTTCTCACTCTCAGCCACTCAATTCATTCATCACACTAACAACTAACATGAGTATTTATTTGAGTCAAATTTGGTTCTGATTTGCTGTTAATTTGTTATGCAAACTCCACTTCCTCCACCCGCTTCACAATAAAATGCTTACAGCTGTTCCCTTCCCATCCCCAGGAAGTTTTTACACAACAAAGTTGTTTCACCGATAAAAATAATGGAAATGTAAACCATCACATTCTCTGATATCATTTGAGACTTGACATTATTTTACAAACAGATATCATCGTTTAATTTTAGGTATGGAACATTTCTTACAAGCAAGTCCCCAAGGTCTGTGGTCTGGAAGTACTGCAAGGCTTCATTGAAGGAGATGAGCGGGGTTGGGTTTGAGTCCTCAGTGAGAGCTGAGGGAATATTACATTGAGTTATTCTGTTAGATCAGCAAATGACGGACAAAACAAAACCAACAAGGACATCTGTTAATTTCGATGCAAACAGGTGAAACAGCGAAATGCATCTGACCTGGTTGAACGTTCTCCAGAGCCTCCCACTCCTCTCTGGCCTTTTCCAACTCCACATTTTCCTCTGTTGAGAATCACGAAGGTGAGTTGAGAAAACAAATTCAATCTATAGTTTCACATATCGTCTACACACACAGTAATTTCACCTCACTGGGTGTCAGTTCTGGCTGACACCCAGTTCATTCTCAGACATAAATCCTTCCTCTCCAAGACCTTCATAATTCAGGCAATCAGTGAGACTCTATTCTTCCTGTGAGCAGACAACAGTCGCTCCTGAGGGAGGTTTTAGTTGCCACAGCCGCCTGGTATCTAGGATACACTCACAAATTCCTTTGGGAAGAGGATGCAAGACTAAAGAGAGGCTGTGTGATAGCATGTGTGTTACCTGTAGGATTAGGCTGGTCCCCTCCAGCCGCCAGGGTCTGCAGTAGACCATTCTGCTTCAGTGCTGAAATCTGGACAATAATCACAAGATGAGTCACCTTACATGAGGAGGGTCGTGCTGCTTTAAGTGAAATACTGAGAATGAAATGAAATTACCGGCAGGGATCTGAGTGGTGCACTGCCGTTCGTGTGGTCTTTGACATTATGACCAATAATCAGTCCATTCATGACCTGTCAAGTCAAAAAGATTTGATGAGGCATATTTTTAAAAAAAGGTAAATGAAAAAGAAAAAAATTGATACAGGAACAAAGGATCAATGAGATGATTTTAGCTGTACTCACAGGCTTATGATTGGAGTGTCCATTGGTGATCTCCTCTAATGGTTTACATTCACAGGACAAACCATTCAGACCCTAGCAGCCACAGAGAGCAGATGCATCAGACAATGTAAAAATAGTTGTACTCCTTTTAAGACAGGTAATCCATCATGACTGCACAGTGCACCCCATCGTATGACTTTTTTTAAACTGTGGAATTTCATTCAATAAAGCAGGGTACAGATAGACCGGTGAAAATTAAACCTGATTAAGTTAGTGGAGAAATAGATTCAGATGCTTCTATACTGGTGCACTGCATGGTAGTATGAAAATTCTGAGCAATATGGAAAAAGACTAAGAAAGAAGATTTATTGTTGTTGAGTTTCAGTCACAAAGATGCTCAACTAGTCAATGTTTCAGTAGGAGCAGTGACTTCATTAACATCTGCATTTAGATCTATGGGACACAGACGTCAGTAACTATAGCTTTGGAAATTGTGGTCGACAGTTCATATTTGATGACTGTGCATTTGAGCGAAATGTAAGAAAAAACAGATGAGCATCTCTTCGACAGGGGAGAATGTCAATGCACTTTAAAACCAAAAGGAAGGAATTTGAATACCGATGTCAGGTACAACAAACACAAAGGAATATTAAGAGTCGTAGAATTACTTCTACTTCACCATAACTGAAGATAAGTTGAAGTAGTTAGGTAGAGACTACGTGCAAGAGAGCTCTACAGGCCTGAATGCCTGGCCCAGAAACAGAGGGGATAGAGCAGTTCTGTTATGGTGGACATTTTACTGTAATGGATTGAGTTCACTTGTCCCCTTAGAGGGAAGCATAACTGCAAAATACAATGTTGTTGAGTGGTCACCTTTATCCATTGATGAAACATTGCTATCCTAGTGGGATTGGTCTTTTCCATAGAGCATGAGAGGCCACTGAATGGTTTGAGGAGTATAAAAATGATGCAAATCATGTGCTTTGGCCTTTGCAGTCACCAGATCTAAACCCAACTAAACAGCCATCTGAGATTTAGGACCGACATTTCAGACAGTGGTGTTCAGAGGTGTACTATTAAGCTGTTCTGGTGGCACATGTTGACCCAACACCACACTAAGACACTTAACGTTGGTTTCTCCTTTAATTTGTCACCCGTCTGTACTTATCCAACTGTTTACAAAAATAAAATTCACAAGGATAGAGGCCAGAGAGAAAAAGTAATGTTATGGCTAGAAAACCGGGCTGTGGATAAGGGAAATGCCCTATCAGCTGCTGCCATGGAAACATGCCAAGCAAGCCAGGCCAGATATTACAGCTAAAGCAGAGGGGGAACTGTTGACCTAAAGCCTTAACTTAAACACATGTGATAGAACTGCTTAAATAAATTGGCTCTATATTGTTTAACTTTAAACAGAGGTGAAGAGCAGGAACATATATCTGTGAGGGTGAGTGGCCAGAGAGTGCTTACTTCCATTTTGTTGACCAACACAGCAGGCATTGCCATTCTGTTACTTTAATGTGGAATGACATTAAATGGTTAAAGAGTCTAAAAGCAAAAGGTAAAATAATGTTACCTCAGTATGTGATGTGACATCAATGTCTTCTTCCATTGCATACGAGTGTGTTGGCTGGCGGGCGTGTTCCTGATTGTAGCCTCTACAGACTTCTGAAGTCATGGACTGAGATGCGCTGAGGAGCTGATGCAAGGACCACCATGGTTTCTGTAGTGCACCTTTGCAGTGACTGCAAGTATCTAAACCTTTCTAATTTTCTACTCATACACACAGAGAACTCAACGTCCACAGTCATCAGTATGATCTCACAAAACTGTCAGTGGCAACAGAAATCCACGTTGTGCACATCATCTTCTGTGTGATAGCGGTGATTGTGTGTTGTTGATGGGAGCCTGGTTTGATTAGCTACTCCAAATTCTAACCTTGAATGTGTACACAGAGAGGGATGTGCAGGTATCTGTCTACAAGAGCTGATGGGAGGAAATGGATATCCATCAATACACAAGTTTCCTCCTTCCTCTTCCCCACAGATCTGCTTGGCTGGTGGGTTCACTCCTCAGCCCTATCAGAGGTGTACAGAGGCTGGATGATGACATTGCTTTTCAGGGCTGGGCTCTCCCTGTCCGAGACTCTTCATTACTTTGGCACTCAAGAGAAATCCAGTATGCACTGAGAGGTACTAGTGCAGGTGCAGATTAGGTTTCTTGCACCGAAGCTGTGTTATGTCTTCAGCCTCATATGAAATGGCAACACATGTCCAAAGTAAGAGCTGCAGGTGTCCAGTGAGATGTAGGTCATGGATAGAGTTCTTGTATGGCCAGAGTCCTGAGAAGGGGCTGTCATATGTACTCAATATCTGAAAAATAAAACAAAAAACATATTAAACTACACAAAATGAATCAATGTCATATCAGATAGTATCTACATGGTGGTGCAAGGAGCAAAATATGGGTTGAATAATAATATGAACTAACAATAAAGCTGTAGAAATGTATCACATACGTTGACTTTGCACAGTAAGATAATCCCGACAAATTTTTATAACCATAGCTCAGTTCAGACCAATCAAGTGTCCCAGTCATGCCTGTGAGCCAGCATACTCATTATCAAGACCCTGGATCTGGATCACTTCAACAGAGCACTAATGTTTAATGTTATGTTCCACCTGTGGTTTTCCTATACAATGTCCCAAAATGTCTCCTGTAACGAAGTTTTATGAAGAGTGTTTGCCATTTTAAGACTACATGATTATCGGCGATACAGTTGTTTTACGATGTGTATGTTTGGTAGGTTATGTCCAATGTGGGGTTTTTTGGAGGCCAAACTGTAATTCGCTGAAAGATTTATATCTATTAAAAAAAAAGGCAATAACCTTTTTTCAATTATCCTTGGGACTGAATTATTTTACCTAAGGCTCTAGATTTTAACCAAGTGGCAATAGAACACAAATGTTATCCGACTTTCTAGTGGACAAACATTTCCTGGCAGAAGATTGCTTCTTGGCACAACACTGCTTTTATCAGGCCATGCTGCTTTATACTTCTAATAAACTACAATGCAGTTGGTCATCAAATTGATTTACAAACGAAAACATAACTTATAGTCTAATGAATTGTTATAGAATAAAGTAAATATTTCAAAAATGAGCTTCAACAATGATGATTACATATTAATAATAATAATTCAATAACATAGCAGTGTAACACTCACAGGGTTTCCTGCATTGATCATGGTACTTTCATTAAAGTGACATCTTCAATGCATGAATTGTACTTTTAATTTTTTCTAGATCTGACATTTCTACTTTTACTCAAGTAAAATACTTAACATACTGCACTAGCGTTACAGTAAAGTACTGCAGAGTACATGCACAGTGTGGAGACAAAGAACTAATGGTATATGGCGAAAGTCTTTGTTTGGTGAGATGACAGCGGTGTCCTGTCACACATCGCTGCTCTGACAGCTACAGCAGCCTCACGTCACTTAGCTAACATGATCTGAAGCAGCTAACATGCTAGCAGCCCCGCAGGCACAAAGACGCCGCTTCGCTCCGGCTCAACCCGAGGATGCAACAGCCGCATATCCTGCGCACAGGACGGCCTAGATACACCTGCAGACAGCGGGGAGGCGAATGTCACGAATACCATTTGTAGCAAAGCAGCGGGGATCTGGTTAGCCTGAGAAAAGCCAGCTGTCAGGCTAACTAACGGGCTAACCGTGTAGCTTCTGCTGAAGTGTAACGGGGATGGAGTCAGGTCCCTAAACGCAGCACACGGATAAATCTGCGTTCGTGCGAACCGTCAATTAAACACAACGCTAAACGTGACGTGCGCTGCCTGTTGTGTGACAGAAGCGTTTTTATGAAGCGTTTTTAAAAGTACCTCAGTTTCTGATTGTTTCTCCCTCCAATCTCAGCTTCCCTTCCCCCGTCCAGTGGCCACGGTATTTGCAAGTGCATCCTGGGAATTGTGGTTTCCTGTCGGACTGTAACTTCATTACGTCATTTCTCTCTCGCTCTCTGACATTTTCTTTTTTTGACTGTACCCATTCACAAAGCTTTGACATTGTTTAATGCTCCCTGGTATGAATGACAAAAATATGTATATAAATCAATAAATCCATACAATTTGTGATTAAAGAAAAGGGTATTTCTATTTCTATATCCATTCGTTTATTTCTATATTTATTTCTGTAATTCTATACTTATGCATTTATTTATTTCTACATTTATTTATTTATCTATTTCTACATTTATTTATTCATCTATTTCTACATTTATTTATTTATACATAACCTGACCTTTCCCCATAAAGTGCAATAATTATAATTTTAATTAAAACAATGCCTATATTTATAGCTGACAGAAAACAAAAGCTGATGTTTGGAGTTGAATTTCAGTCAGGAACGCACAGATGGATATTTAATGAAAAAAAAAAAGATTTAATCAAGGCAGTCATCGGTGCCAGGGATTCAGTATGACTGCCAGATAGCTTGTTTTGTCTTCTTGCTCATATTACATAACTTATCAGCTCTGGATAGTTTTCCCTTCCCTACACCCCAGAATTTCTCCGCTCGTCTCATTATACAACAATGGAACAAGATCTGCGAGTGGCTTCAACCCTCCTCACATCTGCTTATGTTCAGATTTTGAAGGATTTCAAGCAGATGAAAGTTATTACCCTCTGGAACATTCTCTCAAGGAAAGAAAGAAAAAAAAATGTTTTTCATTACACAAGCCGGCACTCTGAACTGTTATGCTGAACTTTGTGTTTTAACTATAGTCTCAAAAAAATCTAAGTGGAATAAGAGAAGAGCCACAAGTTGACTGGTTACATTCAGCCATAACTTCCTATTACAGCTCAGACATTTCCTTAAGGCCTTAACGGTATATGACTGTTACTTAAGTCTACAGTCCAGTTGGCTAGCATCCTGCAGCCAGAGAGTGAGACCTCAGCTCATAAAATTATGGCCCCTGTAGACTGCTCTGTATCCAAGATGTGCAAAAGAGGCTGTTTCAGATTTTAGATGGATCAAAACAACACAGAAATCGGAAAAAACGTTACACAACTGGCAATAATTTCCTCTTTGGGATGAGATGTACTGTTACTTGAACTCAGGGAATGTGCTGCTGGCTCACAGCGCAACTCCTTGCTGCTGAGCTGCTCACACGTCTGAATGGCCAAACACCTGCTCAGTCTGGCAGACTGTCAGCCTGAAAACGCATCAGGCAACAGGAAGACATGCGTATGGATTGAGTTTCCACTCTTTTTCTATGTAGATAGTCATGCCCGCTGAAATATTGTATGAGCTTTTATTAAAGTTCTCAGGTATCAGGATGTTACAGAGTGATCATTCTTCAAAATGCACTTGTTCGACAGCATAATACAAACATAAAAATATAAATATCAACGACATTGGAGTTGTATATTCACTTGGCAGCCACTGTGATGTACTAGTAATAAATACAAGACTGAAATAAAAGGTTTCACTGCAGAGAGAGGGACAAAAACTGGGATGTCATCAGAGAGAAACAATGTGCCGCTTGTGTTTTATTGTTCACACTGGCTCTGTGTGTCCACCAAGGTGCAGCAGAGTGATGTGGATGAGTGTGTAAGATTGGTTTCATTGATGCAAATTCTCATAACAGATTTTTCATTCATCTGGGAAAGAAAAACACACATTTGTCAATCGAAGACAAGCATTTGTGCTGAGGATTTTTTCCAAAGATCTCAGACGAGCATCACCTTCATCTCATCTCCTCAGTACTCTCTGGATTCCTCTATTATTTTGTTCAGCAGCTTTCAGCAGATTCATGTGGTTTTTAATGAGCAGGGGTTGCTTTTTCTGCCACCGTTGAGTGCACTGTGCCAAAGCTCAAGAGGCATCTTGTGTCAGCAGGCATGAGCCATCTCCATAGAAACATTATTAACCATCCTTTGCCTGAGGTGGTTGGCAAAGTCCACCTGCGTCTGAGAGAGCACTTTGTTTATGATTGTCTTTGGGATCCAGCCCTGTGTGCGACAAAGACAAAGCCAGTGTTAGATGGATAACATGATGTTAAGGATATACTTTTACACAGGTTCCACTTCTAGTTCCCAAATTAAAGGTTTTTCAAATAACAGTGGAAAAGAAAATGCAGTGATATACCTTTAGATCTATGCTCAGTAACCAGGTGAACTTGGTCTTATTCGGGTCTTCAGCACACGGCTTCAACACTATACAAGTAGGCCCATTCTCCGCCCTGAAAAGTCATAATTGTACATCATTTGAATCAGCATCCATTCATCCACTGTGCACAAATAGTCAGGTTCCTTGGTATATATTCATTATTCTTAAAGGGACAAGAGTATTTGCACAACAAGTAAATGCTCTCCCCTAGACTCACCGGACTACCCCCCTCTGCTCAGGCATTTTTGGATGCTGAGTGGACATCCCAGCCAGGAAGCAGGCGGAGCCTCTGCGTTTGGCACAGCGGACACTGACAAAGTCCCTTGGTCCCACAATATTGCCAGGCATCTCTGCAGACTCCTCATGAGTAACCATCGTGTCCTTGCCGATCTTTTGGAGGATCTGCGTGACCCCAATGTGAAATTACATCAGTCATTTTAAATCAATATTTTCATATTTTTAAATATCTCTTTTTTCTGATCAATCTATTAATTTTCCAACTTCTTTTACCTTGACCTGTTTGACGTTAGGGTTCCATTCCCCCATTTGCTCCATGTTCCCCACCAGCTCCTCATAAAGATTGTCAGGATGTTGCTCCAGCATCACCTCCAGCTTGAACACTTTCCCAATGTCAGGCAACACCTTACTCAGGACTTTGTCTCCATTTGCCTGCAGAGGGGTTTAAACACATACTGAGAGTGTTTAGATATCTTGTTTAGAACGTCACATTCTGATATAACATCAGTGAGCTGTCTGTTCCAGGACAACAACATCAACACATACATGGACACAGTCATCTGCTACATCAGCAAATGTATTTCTGACATCATACCGAGGATTAATGTACAAACATTCCCAAATCAGAAGCCCTGGATTAATGGTGACTAGGTTATCAGGATCTGGAGTACAGGAAGTCCAGGTACACGCTCCGTAGCGCTATCAGCAATGCCAAGTGGAGTCTCACCACCAGGGCTCCAACACGAACATGTGGGGTGGATTGAAATCACAGACTACAAAAGAAAGACCAGTGGTGCTGAGGTTATGTCTGCATCTCTCCCTGACATCTTGGTTGCTGGGACAACAACCTCCATCTCAACATCAGCAAAACAAAGGAGCTGATTGTGGACTACAGGAAGAGACAATGAGTAAAACACGCCCCCCTCTCCATCAACAGGACTTTTGTGGTGAGAGTCAGCAGCTTCAGGTTCCTCTGGGTTCACATCAGTGATGACCTGACCTGGACTCACCGCACAGACTCCATCGCAAAGACAGCCAGACGGCGGCTTTTCTTCCTCCGCAGGCTGATGAGGCTCAACATGGATCCCAGGATTCTCTGCAACTTTTACAGGTGCACCATTGAGAGTATCCTGACTGGCTGCATCACCACCTGGTATGGCAGCTGCACCGTAGTGAATTTTCTGAGCATGGCTAGAGGGGAGCCTGAGACTCAAGCATTTCATTGCCAGTGACTGCTAAATGTAATTGTTGTGCATATGACAATAAACCCTTGAATCCTTGAATCCCTACTCACAGCTATAGTCTCAGTGGTCCAGCCATCCTGCTCGCCGAGGATGTTGATGGCCTTCTGCAGAGCATCCTCACCTTGCTTCACATAAGACATCTCCTCCTCATTGTATCCATTCTCCTCTTTAATCCGAGAACCTGAAAACAGTTTGGTAAGTCAGGGAATCATGTCTTTTAATGTTCCACAATTATTTTAAGGGATGTCTAGGATGTGTTACATGTCCTATCAAGTCTAATTTCACTTCGTAACTCACTGAGCAGGGAGCTTCGTCTGCGAACATGGTTGATCCAGGTAGTGGGGCCCGGACCTGCCAGTCTGTTCAGCTCATGGTGAAAGGCCACCATGGCACTCTTCCTCAAACCTGAGACAGACAGACAGATTTCAGTTTCTAAAATATTAAATGACACATTGATTACATATGCAGTCAATCAAAAGAGAGAAAACCATTAAGAAAATATGATAGCCCATAAGAACACATTTGGCTCCATTCTAACAATCATTAATTCATTCAGCCACTCTGATTCTGGGCCACATTCAGAACTCCCCTAAGAAAATTTACAAATTCAGATTAAAGTATAACAGGAGAGAAAACTAGGCCAAGGCAAAAGCTGAACAGGTTTCTCTCACTCACCTGTCATGTTTCTCATATGCCGGTAGGAGATGCCGGCACAAAGTTTGAAGGTGGCAGGCAGCATTTTCTTTTACAGGGCTTAGTGCAGCTTTAATAAAAACTAAAAAAACTATAGAATAAACTGGATCACAAAGGTTTAAAATCTGGCTGATCTTTAAATCTGTTCTTGATAGAAGTGGACAAACAACTGAATGTGCTCTGGAGAGAGAGATTGGATTTCTGTCTGTAAGCGCCTCAGAGTGTCTGTATATATATGAGCACTGCTCACAAGGCCGCTGTGCTATCACTCCATAGATAAACACACGCATCACCTCACTGTTCCAACAGCCATGTCAAGGCTGCCTGTTGGACACGACCAGCATGTCTCAGATGCTCACAAACACTGTCAGATAACGTCCAGCGCCCAGGCCCACTGCTCGCGCACACACACACACACACTAACACACTTCTTAAGTGATGAGAGAGGTCAGTAGGAAAGACCCTGAGTGACTCATCCATCCCTTCATGGTTCATTACAGCCTAAACACTCGCTGTGGAATTTGAGGGCAAAAAAGTTCATTCAGTTTGGCTTCATTTCGTCTGATATCTTGGTTTGAGCTATGTTTATCTCTAGTGTCATTATCACAGAGAGGAAATGACCAGCCTCTCTTTATAATCTCGAAAATAAAATAAAATGCAACCTTAACTTTATTTATTTATTTTACCAACTCGATACTTCTCTCCCGTGCTCTTTTAAAAAAGATGATTCTGACATACTTAAAAGGTTAGCTAATAGATGCATTATTTAAGTTCAGACAGGGTCAAGTGAAGAGGTAAAGCCAATTTTAAAGAAACATTGGGTTAACAGTGCATTTAGAAACTACTGGACTCTCAGTAACAGAAATCATGAGCAAGACGTAACCAGTAATTACATGACTATGTAGGATTTTGCTGAAGTTCCAAATGAAAGCCACTTTCCCTTTTGAGGCCAGAACCTGTAATTTTTCAGCTATGGTGACCCAACTTAAATATCGATGTTATCATTTCTGATGTAACATATTGTGACAACTGGTATGTTTACAACAGCATTGAAACAACCATGTACAGTATGTTTAGTCAAAATGAGGGTTATCATGGTTTGGAAGAGGCATTTAGTTTTTCCATGGTGGTCAGACTCAATCAAAAACATCATATTTCATAATGTTGACATCCAGACGACAGCTTTGTGATTCTGCTGAGTGTCTGCTGCTGAGTGTCGTGTGACTGAATCGCCGTCTGGAATCCAACCGGCTTGCTTACTGGTACTACGCACCATGATCCATGAAACAACATCAGCCTGATTCAAGTGTTTTGACAACCTTACTGAACAAACACAAGATCCAAACTATCTAAAAGCAATATTGCCTCATTGAGCTGCACATCAGCAAACCTTCAGAGTCAACAGTGCACATGACCACAGCAATAGAGAGCAGCCAGGAGGCCATCTGATTAGTGAACAGGAATGGACACAGAGAAAACAGGAACAGATTAATGAGACGAAAGGAAAGACTGAAGTCACCTTAACCTGCAACCTTGCGTCCTTCTGACGACATGACAGGAATTATCCGTCAGTCCCTCTGACCTTCTCTTATTTAGTGTGGGAACACACCGGCCTGGTGTCATCTGACCCGTTAATCAGCCACATTTCTTCCACTGTAAAGTTCAAGTTTCTGAGAAAAAGAATCAGGAGACAAAATGGGTCATAAGTTTTTAATACCTCTCTATTTGGAACAGCATTGTATTTTAATGGACCTCAGGCCTGTGGATCCTGGTGAGGGTTTAACCTGAGGAAGGTTATTTCTATGTTTATGTTCAGGCAACGTTATCATGACAAAATGGTGATGTGTATTAGTCTTGCCCACCTAAGAGACTTTTTACCTGCTGTGGCAGCGCGGCTGGTATCATGTGAGTATGCAGGGCAGACACACTGTCGCAGTAATACCACAAAGACAGATTTGAGTACTTCAGTAAGGTACAGTCACAAAACTGTACAGGTGTATAGTTGAGTTCAAAATGAAGGCATGCTTTGAAGATGGTTGTGGTCTAACCCATGAGTCCCGAGTTCTCACAAGATGTACTCTAGTTGGATTTGATGATGACACAGACACAGTAACTGTTTCTGTTTTCTCTTTTCATACTTGTACCTCACGTGCATTGCATTAAAATACACATGACTGGCACTAGTTTGCATCGTGCAAAAGAGCGGGGCTCATATAATACACATTCCTTGATGGATGAAGTAATAAAAACAGGAATTTCTTTGACTATGTGTTTAGTTATTTCCTCTACCAAGGAGGTTATATTTTCACTCTGGTCTGTTGGTTTAACTTGGTTGAGGGATAGGACAAGGTCGAAGAAAGAAGCCATTAAACTGTTTGGGCGGATCAGAGGTTTTTCACCGTCTTTAACTGGGAGATAGGGCGTTTTTTGGAAATGTCCGTCCATTTCTCAGAGAATAATTCATGGTTCCTGATGAAAAAGTGTGTGCAATATGGTGCAGCCTGATTGAATTTAAGATTGTTGGGCCTTGGAGGAGGTATGCTCTCTTCTGAGTGCTGTTCTTGTTTAGTTACAGTTATAAATTTACCAGTGAGTCATGCTTTTGGTATAAAACCCAGTCTTTGTGCTTCATTAGACATTATGTTCTTGGTGAGACATACTGGAGGAATAGTAACACAAATGTGTGACAAAAAATTTTTTTTAAGAAATATATATTCAAATAACAATAATAATCAAATATTTTTGATTTGTCTTATCTGGACTGCTGTATTTTTCTCATATTTTACACCAAGGTTTCTCTGCTCTCACTTACATTTGAATCATGTTACCAATGGGATCTCTTCATTGCCAACATGCATAGGAATGATTAGAGCTACTTTAAACTTTCTCCATACACAGAACACATGGACATGACAATGTGGTTCATAGCAAAGACTTGAAAAAATGTAAACCAATCCTTTGTGTGGGACCATATTTATAGATTCAATGTAGATTTGTATTTACTTATTGGAGAACATGGTTGTTATGGATGTGGAGTGTTAAAACCTTTACTACTACTAGTAGTAGTAGTACTACTGATGATAGAGATTATAATAATAATATATTATATTAGGACTTTTTAATCTCCATTGGGCTGACCTGGTTGAAAAACCCCAATAAATTAGATGTATTTGCATACAGACAGGGGAAATAAGAGACAGGCAAACTGTGGAGTACTCAAACTATAGCACAGAGTTTATTGGGACTTGAAGGACACAGTGGGTTTGGCTTTCACATGCACTCAGCACTTTGCTGTACATCACAATAAGAAGGAAAACTCCCTCATTCATCAGCTCGCTCCCTGCATCCGTCACTCCCCTTCACTTCCAACAAACTGTATGAGTCTGTGTGTATTTTGTGTGGACGCGTTCCCCAGTGAAACAAACAGAGTATGACAGTCAGAGAATAAACAAAGTGCTGATGTCTGTGTGGGCATTGTCCGGGAGATCGTGCTAACAAGGAGGCACTTCAGTCTGATTCAGATTTTTTTTTCCATATCAAGTACACAGAAAAAAACAATAAGATCGCATTATATTGTAAGAAGGATTAAAATTACTGCATGGAGCAGCTTCCAATACCTCATATAGGGAAAATAGCACATTCTTAAAAACAAGCACAAAACTGAGTCTGAGCTCCTCTTCCCTTTTCATTGGCTGTGCTGCTGCGAGAAGGCCACTTCTTTGTGTGGTGTTTGCAGGATCCTCTGGTGTCTTCCTCTCCTCTCCTGCTCCGACATGAATGAACCAGGCCCATTGAATAAAACTAATATAATAGGATAAATGTAGTTGTGCCTTCTTCGAATATGCTTGAACACAAAACAAGAGGAAGACCCTTTAGATTCGTGAGGCATTATGAAGAGCATGTTAAGTGTAAAGGGGCTGAATACAAAAACCTGTACATGTGACAACAACGGCAACGCAGCAATATCTTTTACATGGAGAAAGGCATAGGGAGAGCAAGAACACTTACGCATTTTTTTGGGGATGTAGAAAATAATCGGCATGTGAGAATATCAATACAATAATGTGCCTTAATGAGCAGAGGTAACATTTTCATTTGGAGACAACAACAAAAAAACAGCATGACATGATTTTAAGTTGTGCAAATTGTAAGTCAGGCTGAGTGCATGTGTTCCTCTCCACTCCACGGGGACTGTGCAGAAAGTTGAGGAGAAAGAAAAAACAGAAACAGAAAAATAACAAAAGAAGAGATTCTCGTTTCTGTACAGCATATTCATTACTTTTCTTTAAACTCCACATAATGTCAAATATAAAGTGACACTGTAAACCGAGGGAGACGTCTGTGTGTATACAATGCTAACATCAGTGGAATGAGGTATGCAGAAGCGAAAGGGATACAGCTGTCCATACTTACACTTGTCCATGCAATGAAAACACAGCACAATTCTCACTATTCTGTATGTGTGTGTATGAGTGTGTGCTGTATGTGTGCTTTAAGCAGTATGATATGTCTGCAGGCTCATATTTAGAGAAAGTGTATAAAACAGATCACATATTCTGATCCTCCTGTGGTTCTAAACGACGGCTAGAATACCTTCAAAATCAACAAGAAAACTGTATCACAAAACTAAACTGTCGTCTTTGGCCTGAGTGTACGCAAGGCAATGTACATCATGTGTTGAGGTTGTCGAGGTGCAAGTGTTCTGAATGTTTACGGAGTGATCTGAGGTATGGGAGGTGGAAATACAGAGAGAGAGTAAGTTAAGAGTATGAGTTGTACAGATGGTGATGCTCGGAGGGGTGTAAATAGATTGGAAAGAGATACTGGTACAAGATACAGGCCAGAAAGTAAAAGACTGAAAATGAGCGAAAGAGAAAAGTTCCATTTCTGAAAAAAAATAGAATAAAATTCACTAAGACCCCATCTTCTATTCCCTGTGGCGGTCTTTATTATACAGTGGATCCCCTGAATATTAGCTTGTTTTCTATCTTTACCTGTTTTCATCAACATCAGTGGCTCTGTTCTATAGTCCAACAATCCTGAGGGCGAGTTAGGTTTGTCCGAATATTTTCCAAGCGTCTCTGCAACATTGACCATCCCACTACAAATGCCCAGGGTCTCAGGGCCCGGTCACCCACCCCCACCCCATGGGCTGACCATTTAGGCTATTAGACAGGCTGTCTCCGGCTGCTGCTCAGGCCCCGGATGTGGACCAATCAGCAGCAGGGAAGCCCCTCGGAGCTCCTTCCCTTTGTGTGTGTATGGCTCCCACACAGTCACTTTGCCACTAGGGGGCAGAGTTGGACATGGAGTCCACAGAGTTCACACTGGAAGACTGCACACGGCTGTGGGAAATAGACACCTCTGGGTGCTGCAACAGAAAGTGCAAGAAAAAGGGAGATTTAATTTGTATGAACGTGTGTGTGTGTTTTTTTGTGTGTTTGTGTGTGTGTGTGTGTGTGTGTGTGTGTGTGTGTGTGTGCTCACTCACCCACAGAAGTGTGTTTTCATTTTCACCAGCTCCAGCTCCATTGTGGATC